AAACTACAAAATCTGCATCAAGATAATAGGAATACAAATATTTGTAAGTGTTATTTAATTCATCTTTTAAGCTGCTCACTTAATTTGCAAACACATTTCAGAAAGTATTGTGGGCTTTCTAAGCATACATAGTATTGTTCTGTTGAATAATTAAAGCCTCTGAGTAGAAAGGACACTGCTGAAATTGGAAAATACCTGGACACAACAACATTTGTCTCATCATCATTGAAAAGAAGAGGTAAATCCAATTAAATTACCCCATAATAGATGTCTAGAGTCAGTGGATAAATCAGTGGACCATTTAAAATGCCTATTCAATCAATAATCTGAAGCATAACCCCACATCAATAGAAGTAGTGCTCATCGTTGGCTGAAGAGGAACATACAGTGTTTGCATGCTGCTGAAAATTAGTTGTTTTACTGAAACCACTTGAAATGTTTGAGAAGAGCTCTTGAAGAAACAAAGTAACAAAATCCAGTTCTAAGACAAAGAAAGACCAAACTACTTTTTCATTATTTTGTCGAAGGCTTTCATGGCCGGAATCACTGGGTTGTAGATTTTTTCGGGCTATATGGCCATGTACTTTTTCCTTGTCTGTATTTTCAATCCAGAATACAAATTAGATGCTTAGTAAATGGACAGAATGTTGCAACTTCTTCTCAACCCATCCATACCGTCAAGGCTGTATGTCAGCTATTCAAGTTCATGATACTTAATTTTACAAAAATGTATCTATTTTACTTTCATGATAGCATAATTTGGAAAGAAAAAAACTTAATTACCTAATACTGGTAATTCTTTTTACTCGAATTAACATTATTGAATAAACCCATCATAAAAGTGACCTGTTGGAAGAGATTTGATGACTGAATATGCAGTCTGAATCTAAAACGGCAATGAAGACCTTTTTTCCCATCAGACCCATTCAGGTGGTTTTAAAATTATGATTTTTAAATTATATAGTAGCTGTTTTAATATGTATGGATTTTATGTGTTTTTGCCAATTTTAAGTGTTGCTGTTCCCTGCCTCTGTTTATGGGGAGAGGCTGGCAAGAAACAATGACAACAATACTTATGAGTGCTAATTGTTTTATTTGTAAATGTCTCTCTTGATGTACTAATTCACATGGGAGTTGAATCCACCAGTTGTAAGAAAGCACTTGTTTAGATGTAGCTTGACATCTAGTTTTTCCGCTATTTAGTTTGGCTAAGTACACTGTAACAGTCTGAAGATAGTTAGGCATTATAGCCATGGAAACATGCACGCCTGGTTTTCCAAACAGACTTTTGTCTACAAGGACATCAGTATCCTAGATACAGTGTTTATAGTTAACTCTTTTTAGTGCCTATTTGATAATGCATGTAGTGTAATTTAGAAATGAGTAATAAGAACAGTATATTTGTGAAGTCCTGTTCAACTTGGTCCAGCTAAAACACAAGCTGACTGTAGCCTCAGGAGGGGTTCATCCTGTTCACATGAGGATTGACAGTATGCGGTATGCAAGCCTCACCCTACCTTTCATGTCTTCTTGAACCCCTGTCTTCGCAGGGTGGTGGGGAACCTTAACAGGGCATTTTCTTTAATATGAGTAGAAGTATAAGGTAAGGGTAAGGGTGTTCTGTATGTGCTTTGTTGATAACAAAAAGTGGGTTCATGTAGGATGATCAGGCAATTTGTGTGGTGTACATTTGCATGTATGTAATGATAATCACAAAATGCTAAGTTTTTTTTTTTTACTTCACTCAGCCTCAGCTCTTCTTTGGAGAGGCAGCTCACAGAGAACTTTGTAGAAAATCCATCTTTAAAATGAAGGATTCTGGTGACAAATAGATTCTGATGTAATATTTTAATCTCAAGGTACTTGTTGGCAGACTCACAACCAAGCACTGATCAGAACTGATCCTGCTTAACTTCCAAGATAAAATGGGAACTAGTGCCTTTAGAGTTATACTGATAATTTAAACTTGTATGAATAATGCACATTCTATTACTGATTTAATTATAGCTTTTCTCTACTTAGTTCAGTACCATAGGGCTTGCACCTCAGCAGTTTTTCAACTCTGCCTGTGTGCACCTCGGTAACTAGTATTAAGTCTGCAATTGGAAAATGCCAAATTAGCATGCATTTCTTCAAAAGTCATATAATCAACCCATGAAAGATAATATTAATAAAACTCTAAAATGTCTTTCTGCTCTCAAGTAGCTTTAAAAAAAAATCCAGCCTTAACAAGTCCTGTGTTACACCAAGCAGTCAGAATGATAGAAAGTACATTAAAGGTATTAAAATTCATGGCTATAATGATGTATTAATGGTGTTTCTCCCAGCAGATTGTGTCTGAAAAGAACGGGTTTAGTGAAACAATCCAGAGTGTTTCTCAGGGCAGTGTTGTGTTTGTGTTCCTAGGTTCCATGTTTCCCTTATATGACAGGTCTCATGTCATGCATATTTAAAAGGAAATGCAGATCATATTTGTTATGTATTATAAACGAAAATTGACAGCTTTAAAAAGAACAGTGATACAAGATTGGAAATACCCCAGGATCAATGAGGCCTGCTCCTCCTCCTGTCTGCCATGTGTCTGTTTCACTCAGTAAAGGAGACACAAGTGACAGCCCAGCTCCCAAACAGCCCTCACTGCTTGGAGGTGGGGCTGCTGTGCGAATTTTCACACCACAGCCCCATCTTCAGAAGCCAAGTATGGCATGGACAGTGGTCCCTCGCCTTCCCTCATCTCCTGAGGATGAGGCTGCCATACAGATGTTCTAACAGCAACCCCGACTTCAGGAGGCAGTGGCCGGCGGTACAAGATCGCAAATAATCAAAACTGTACGTTTGAAATCCATGAATAAAGAGGGCCCACACTTAACTGTTTAAAACCAAAGAAAAAACAAACAGTTTTAAACAAAAAAGAAAATGCTGTTTTTAAACCTGTTTTTCCAACCCTTATTAGAAGGGAAGGAAGTAACTGCTTCTTTCAGATTTAATGTGCCATAAAGCATCTCCCTTGCAATTTCTGTTCCCAATAAGGCCAAGCGGTGCTCACATCTGGGGACTCTTGAGATTTCTTCCAAGTTTTCCTTTCTATTCAGGAATTTATTTCATTCCTTTTGGAATGGTCTGCCAGCTTGCAGCAGGTTGGAATCATTCGTGTAGTTTATCTTCATGTTCTCTCTGCCTTCCCTCTCTTTGTGGTGAGCGCTCTTACCTCCCCTTACAATATCCCACCACCACTCCTATCCATTGGCTCTGGGCTAGCTACACTTCTTCAAGCCTGGGCTTGTTTTGTTTCTTTGTCAAGAACAGCCCATTTTAGAAATGAGAAGTTGCATGAGTGTCTCTTTTGGAATGGGGAGAGCTTATTTGTGCCCGAGACAAAAGGTGTAGTGGTGGGAAAATAGCTGTTGAGTGACAGATCCCACCTACCAATCTGATGGTGCTGTTTATCCTTTTCTCACTTTGAAGGAGGAGTCTTCTGGACGTCACTCAGAAGCTGCACTTTGCCCACACCTGATACAGAGTAGAGTAGCCTCATAGTTACCAATTACACTTGAAATTGATTTTTTTCTGCTTGTGGTTCTTGGGGGATTTACATTATTTTTTCTGGATTGGTTATGTTCCTTTACAGAAACTCTACAAGGACTTGAAAAATATTTAAGTAACCTTAATTTGCATTCAATGAATTATGACTTTATATCCTTAGATACGTGCTCTAACCTTGTTACTTGAAACAGGTGCAGTTGCAGCTTTTCAATTTTCCTTTTGAAAGAGTAATATTCATCATTTTAACACCAATATGCCTCTATGATTCTTACTATTTAAGCTAAGAATAATGCAGTTTACTGTCACCAGTCTACACTGTTGACGATTTCAGTAGTGTTGCCATTTGAGACATGCATAAGCCAAATACCTTGACTGAAGAATCACTCCAATAAAATGTTAGATTTGTTGTGATCAAACAGATTTCTATATATGAACAGTGCAACAATTTGCTAGTGTAAGGTATCCTCCTTTTTATTCAGAAAATCTCTTCCAGAATTAATTCATTTGCTATGTCTTAACTATACATCTTGCAGAGTGAATGCTATTAGAAATTACTGGAATTTGTATGTACAACAGAAGAATAAACAAGGCACTGTTGCTCTGTTGTGGACCCATCATTTTTGGTTTCTTGATCATTTGTGTTACTCATACTTTACTGGAGATACTGACTGATTAAATCCATATCTGACCTTTCCCAGAATGGATTCCTTTCTTGGATCCACATTCTGAATCTTGATATATCTGGAGATATGTAAGAGTAGCAGCTACACATTGACACCTCTGAGAACGTAGGAAATGATTCTACCATGTTATACAATTCTAAGATTGCATCAAATATAGCTATAACAGGTTTCAAAGAGTAAATATTTGGTATAGTATTGTTAGTAATATAACTGCCTGATTCTGCTTTCTGTTTCTATGCATTCATGAATAAGGGCTGCAATCTTTAATTAATTTGAGGCCAATATTAATAGGCAAAATTGAGTAAAAAATAGTTGTTCAGATTATTATTTATTTATTTACTGTATTTGTATACCACCCTTCTCAGCCCTCAGGTGACTCAGCAACATAATAGGAAACAATTATGTGTGTTCCTACATTAGCAGTTTTATAATCAAAATAGATGATGTGCTATACCAGGTGGTGGTCAACAAATTATTTAACTGTTGCCAGCCCTAACATGAATGATAAATACTTCATTAATAACATTTGAACCGGGGTTATGAGGGTTGATCTGTCATCAAAGTTTGAAGCCATTGGTGATTGGACAAGGAATAAAGGGTTCTTGCATGTCTTTCTCAATTATGCGTAAAGAGAACATTTGGGGAAGTGCCTCTGAAAAAGATGAACTCAACTGAGTGCAGCCTTTTCCTTAAAGAAGACCATAACTCTTGGTTAAAGTACCCTACAAAAAACAGCTTATTTCCTAATATCAAAGTGTTGTGTTTGCTTTCCAGGTTTTTGAGCATGAAGACGACAACAGATGAAGCAGAGCAGAATGGAGCAGGATGTATCACTCCCCAAATCCTAGGAATTTTTAGTTCATAAACACACTTGCCAGTGGTTGTGAGCAGCCATCTACTTGATGTAAAGAACTTAATTTCAATATAAACTGGCTCTGGGCAGTGGTGTTGATGCTGCACCTTTGAGTTGTAGCAGCTGTAATTGTGAATATTGCTGAGATAGTTGAACATGGTGTCCAGTTTTCTATTGCATTTTTTCAAGTGGAAAAGTTAACTGAATGGTTGACACAAAAGTGGTGGAAAGAATTGTGCATATGCCAATTTTTGTAACCTTTTTACTTTGAACTACACTGCTTACAAGATCTCATTGTTTTGGAAGAATGGCATGAACAAGTCTTCAGGAACAGTTGTGATAATTGTACATGCTCACAATTGTGCACTCTTTCTGGGTATTCCTCCCTGGTTTTGAAAGTTGTACACTTAAAACATTCTTATAATTGCTGGTGTCTGAATGACATAACAAGCCAGTTGACACGGTAGTAACCAAAGATTCCAGTTTTTAAGCATATGAAAGACTCTGCCTGCTTACCTGTGCTAGAAGTAACAGCATCTAAAGTGAAGACTTAAGAGAAACTTAGCGACTACTAGATTATCTTTAGGACTCTGCATTAACTCTATAATGTTCTTGTTATAAAAGGAGAAAGCATATTTGTCACAAATTTAGTTAACATCTTACAACGAAACTGTATGTAAGTTGCTTAGATAAATGTAATCACTGTAAACATCTATACAATCTGGGATTTTGTTTTTATTTTGAAACGGGAGCTTTTTTGTTTACAAATTCATTAAAAACTAAACTGTTTCTGTAAGGAAATGAGATTTTTTTTAATTTGCCTTGATAATTTGCAATCTAAATTAGACACCGCCATTTTTTAAAACAGGCAACTACAAGGCCATTTGTTAAAGCAACAGTCCTATTTCTTAATCATTTTAGATCTAGTGTTGTAACTCTTCCTCACTTTTGTTTTTAAAATAAATTTTGTATTTTTTTTCTTGATGGGGAGGGGCACTCTTGCATTTTTATAATCTGTTGCATTGATACCCAGCCCACTGTAACAAGAGACTGAATAAAAATAAAGGCATCTTTTTGGAGCCATCACAGCAACTCACTAGTCTTGCCGTTGTCTCACATTGGCTGGACTGGTTTGCAAAACTAGCTTTTACAGATTTAAATTGGAAGTATATGGAGGGTTTGAAAAGGAGGATTTTTCTTTCAAGTTCTTGTGAAGTGGATATGATCAGATTTACTCTTGTTCTTAGGCAGCCCCTCAGAGTGTGGTGTTCACATGGGTTACTGGTTACTGCCTTAGGCTGTCCTTCTCACCTTAATCCAGCTGAAAGATATTCTTACTGCTGGCAAATTCATTTAACAGTGTAATTTATTCCTTTATAGCATGTCAGAATAAATTTAAAAAGTTGTCTGAAAATGCTGCCAGATGCCTATTGTGTACATGGTTTTTATGACTTTTGATCCTCAGTTTTTCATATAACAGAATTGGGTTTCACAGTATATTCTCTTGTGGGATATTGAAAAACCTCTAAGATTGTCCCCCTGCCCCCTGGAAATAAACTGAATAGTTAAAAATATTGTGGCCATGCAAATGGGGGTACCGAAAAAACATTTTCAGCATGTGGAATATACCAAGAATTTGGGGAATGTTGTTTGTACTTTAGATTTCTTCTTTTTGTCCTGAAAACGATCCGGATTTCAATATGTCCCATCATTGATTCAGACGGTATGTAACTTAAGAATGTAATACTGAATTTCTTTGACAAAATCAACAAAATCACGTGAGTTTTTGAAGAATAAATATTTGGCTATTGTATTTCCAGGTGTTATAACACAGTTCGGTCATGCAACTGATAGAAGAGTAAGAGGTAGAATAAGTGAAGTAAAACATGTCTTTAAACATCAAAAATAAAGCTTTGTAAAGAAGTTAAATATATTTTTTAAAGAATAGAAAACTTCCTAATTCAGGATGAATCTACTTGCTCCTTGTAGGAGCACTGTGTTAGGAAGGGGTCAAGTTGATATCCATAAGTTGATAGATAATGCTGTCAAAATAGTTTTTCTTTAGATCGTTTCTATTAAAGCATTCTTCAATTTGTTGAACAGTTTGAAAATGGAAAGGCAGTTGACATTGAAGATGAATAGTAAAGTAAGACTGTTGTTGAGTCTTGATCTGTTAGTATAATTTTTATGGTCTCCAAAAGCGCTGGATCTCAAGTGCTTTAGAAGCATCACCTACTTCTGGTAACTGAAATTATCTCTACAGTGCTGGGAAATTCCAATAAAATAAGTAGCAAAAATACTATTACCTTGCTTCTAAAGCACTTATCTCATCCTCTCTGTAACACACAATCTGAATTCCTAATCTTGTCAGCCTAAGAAACATTTTGTCTTATGTTATCAGAGTGTTTTCTGGGTCTTACACATGATAGATATGTGAAGCTTGCATCCCTTAATGTATCTGTGGAAAGAGTGCAAAACTCTGTGGCTTGCAATGCTTTTCTGTTTGGTTCCATGTGCTGAACTACATTGAATTTCAGGTCTTAGTAAAACGTAACTGGCAAGCTTGCTTGTTTGTGGGTATACCTGAATTGAACTTATATAAAGTTTTTTTTCCTCAAGGCTTTGACAGAAATTAGGGTCTCTGACAGTGCTATATGTGAAAGTTCTGCAAATGTTCCTGTTTTGAGAATGTCTTCTATTGCCACAGTTTTATTCTGAACTAGCTGCCCCCTGCCACGCGTTGCTGTGGCCCAGTCTGGTGACCTGGAAAATAGTGTTGGCTTGTGGGTAAACAGTATTTCTTGTCAGTGTTGATGTAGAGATTGTCTGGTTTGCTTACTCTGGAACATGCAACATATCATTGTCCTTCTTTAGAGGTCCCTTTGAAATCTATGATACTATATCTGGCTTTGTGTGTGTGTGTGTGAATCATATCTATTTATATCTAGACTGGGTGGCTCTTTCTCAGGAGGGTTTTAATTATGTTTTCTTGCCCTGGTGAAGGGAGTTGGACCGGATGGCCTTTAGGCAGCATTTCTAAACCTGGGGGTTGGGACCCCTAGGGGGGGGGTTGTGGGGGGCATCAGAAGAGTCTCAGAAGACCACCAGAAATCACAGTATTTTCTGTTGGTCATGGGGGTTCTGTATGGAAAGTTTGGCCCAATTCTTTAGTTTGTGGGGTTCAAAATGCTCTTTGATTGTAGGTGAACTATAAATTCCAGCAAATACAAGTCTCAAATGTCAAGGTCTATATTCCTCAAACTCCACCAGTGTTTACACTTGAGTATTTGTGCCAAGTTTGATCCAGATCCATCATTGTTTGAGTCCACAGTGCTCTCTGGATGTAGGTGAACTACAACTCCAAAACCAAAGGTCAATGCCCACCAAACCCTTCCAGTATTTTCTGTTGGTCATGGGAGAACTGTGTGCCAAGTTTGGTTCAATTCCATCGTTGGTGGGGTTCAGAATGCTCTTTGATTGTAGGTGAACTATAAATCCCAGCAGCTACAACTCCCAAAATCTTTTTTTTTTTAGTGAAGGACATACATTGGGTTGTTAGGTGTCTTGTGTCCAAATTTGGTGTCAATTTGTCCAGTGGTTTCTGAGTTCTGTTATTTTATTTACACAATTTTGTGTAAGTTCTGTTAATCCCACAAACGAACATTACATTTTTATTTATATAGATGTGCAATTTAGCTGCTTTGTATTTGTAGGGTTCAGAGGGGCTTTCTCCCTCTTGTTGAACTAATCTCCTGTTCTTACAAAGCAAAATCAGCACTTTAGAACACAAAGGTAAAGATGATGAGTTTTTGAGAGGATTAAAACAATTTGTTTGAAATACCTGCTTTCAAACTCGTTGCCCTTTTGTTTTAATTGCATTGCTTAAATGGCAACATTATTGGCATTTTGTAGTTTCAGGGCATAGTGCAAAACAATGTCTTCTGATAGAGGCTTTTAGAGAGTTTCAGGAAGCCAAGGGCATTTTAAAAATGACTTGAGTGTGCTGGAAATGCACTTCCCGGCACTTAATTGTGCCAAATGTTTATTGGCTTGCTATTGAAGATTGGAAACATAAGTTATTAACTATTTGATCTGAAAATCTGTTTTGTTACATTGTATAAGTCTGGTTACAGCTATGCTCAATATGTTCTCATCACCCTGTATTTTTCCACATGCTCCTCTCCCTCAACTTGTCCTGGAGAACTGAGGGATCTTTTGACACAGATTTGAGGATGTGGTAGGAAAAAGGAAGTTCAACCACATGGGATGAGGCTAGTTTGTAGGACAATGGATATCGACTTTTAATATATATTTCTCCTGCATACACAATATACCTTGGCTTTTTAACAAGATAGCGTGAAGGTTTTTAATGTGTATCCATAATATTTTAGAAAAATAAAAGTACTTTAGTGGTACATAATTATTGGGATTACAGAAGTGTTAACAAAAGAGGTACTAAAATTGTATTCTCCCAGAACTCCCCTTCAGGAGTAATGGTCCAAACATCAGCTATTAGTGTTAAAATGAGCAACCGAGTAAAAAAATAATCATAAACTGTAGCACTTCAGAATGTCACTTGTAGGTTTTAATTGTACATTTCCTCAGTCAGCACATCTACAGGAAAGACATCTTGCACCTGCCAGTTAAACATTTGACAGTGAATTGGGGAGTGTGGGCCCACAGGTACTGCTCTCAAAACCTGATTTGTTTATTGGTAAGAATAATTCTTAAAGTTTTCTAGTCCCAAACAACTCAGAGACTCACAAGTCAGAGCTAGTACCTTGAAATCATAGAGTTGAAAGATCTTCAAAGATGGAGAACCCATTATACTCTGGAATAGTCTGTCCCACACATGAGCAGCTCTTAGAAACTTTCCAATGTCTAGGTGGAATCTCTTGTAATTTGAATCCATTAGTTCATGCTCTAGTCTCTAGAGCAGCAGTAAACAAGCTGGCATCATCTTCCTAAGATCCCTTCAGATATTTAGGATAGCTATCATGTCATCTCACAGTCTTCAAGCTAAGCACACCCAGCTACCTAAGACTTGGTTGCAGACTTTTGATCATCTTGGTTGTTATTCTCTGGACACAGTTCAGCTTGAACCAGGAATGGGAAGCTTTGCTCCATCAGTTTTGGAATCCAATTGCCACTGTTCATTAGAATTCATAGTGATATCTGGGTTTCAGGGAAGGACAACCAAAATGATCAGATAATTGGAGCAACTGCCCAGAAGAAATAAGATATTTGAGATTGTTCTGGTTGCAAGAAATGAGCACAGAGGAGATAAAACCCATTACTTTTTGTGAAATGTAGGTGGTGGGAGAATCAGGACAGAACTGAGGAATTCACTTTTATAAGATAATTGTGATGGCCTCCAAATTTGATGGTTTTCAGAGGATTAAATAAAGTGAAAAATTGACTTATCAGTGACTGCTAGCCACAGTGGCTATTCCCTCCAGTATGCCGCTGCCACTTGTTGAGTAACACAAGTGATGGTTTGGAGCTCTTGCACTCCTGTCCTGCCTGTAGGTCTTCTTGATACTTCATGATCAGAATGTGGTATCTTATGTTCGCGTGTTTAACTGGTGTAGTTAAACTCACACTAACAAACCCATCCCATTTCCACTCCACATGGGTGAATATTATGTGTATTCCTAAGTAGTTGACTTGTGCTCTCTAATTTAAAAGCATTGATCTTAAAAGTTATTGTTAGTAATTGCAATGTAAATTAGTGCTGACATAGGTTAATTTACTCTACTACTACTAAAGTCTCAGCAGCAAGACAAGGCTGGGTGTATGAGGGGAATAGGAGAAGGAGGCGGATGTGTTTGCCAAGGTCAGTCACATAAGGAGCCCCCTTGCTCATGTTTCAAAGCAGGTCTCTGGCTTCCTATAGTATTGAAGGTGTCTGCTGTTGCTGGCATTCTTCCATGGTATATTGTGTGGGGATGGGGAGAGTTCAGTTACAGCACTTAAATGACAGGCTATCTGTACTAACAGGCTCTTGGATATACTTGCCATTGTATCCTTAAAGGGAGAAAGGAGTTCATCAACCGGCCAGCTTGTAAAAATGGAGTGAAGCATCCTCCTCTCATGGTTGCTAGGGGAACTAGTCAACATAGCAAGGCATAACTCCTGCGGGTAGGGAGATTGCATTGCACTTTTCCTGCAGTTGGTGCTCAGCTGTTTCACCTTCATGCATTTAGTGGAATTGCTTTGGAAAGCAGGAAGGAGAAGGGGAGGGGGTGGCATGAAATTACGGGACCTCCATCTCCAATTCGACCGTATGTCAGACCTAGCTATTATTGCTGCCAACATTCACCAAAGACAGAGAGAGGTGCTGTTAGACATTGTAGATTTTGGGAAGAAGGGCTCGTCATTGTATATTGTTTGATTGGTTTCAAAAAGTGGTAA